TTTCGTCCAACAAAAGAAGTCCATAAGACTGAGAACGAAAAACTTGAGGCATCGAAAAAAAAACGATATCATTGCGGAGTTAGGGTTGCAAGATTGGTAATACTTGTTCGTAGCAAACTCATAAATGGGACTTCCATTGAAATAGAAAATCTTCGAAAATGATATAACGGCAAATAAAGATGAGGGGATTTACGTTCCAAGTATTATAAAAAAGGAGACTATGGTGAAAACAAAGCGATGAAAATGGCAACGAAGAAAACCTACCTTGACAAACGCACGAAGCGTTCTAATACAATCTATCCTGTTCTTGTCAATGGAGAGCATGCGTTGGTAATCACCAGCTCCCCAATCCTCAAAAATGACCCTTGGTGCAAATTTAACATCGTCCTTAACAGCTTTAACTTTTTCTATCCACTTCCGATCAAAATCTTGATAGCCAATAATTTCATATGCAAAAGGTTTCAGCTGGAACCAAACAGGAGCGATTATGGTGAATTTGTTTGCAAAAAACTCCGCCTTCTCGTATCCTTTCGAGTTCCACTTAATTCAAATAGAAGTCAGAAAATAACAACGTACTGGTGTTACATAAGCAAGGACATCATGACTCGACACCTTGATAACCTGTTCGTAAGGGTTAACAAAATCGTACGAACGCAGAAAATTGTTCACATCAACGTCTTTGCCCACCATAGGTTTTTCCTATAAAATACTAAAAGAAAGTTTCGTCTTTACTTCAGTCCCTTCATCTAAATTTAATCCCGAAGTTCGGGCGAAGATAATAGACTCAACGAGAACAAGAGCAAGGCCTAGCTGCATTACCACACACAGCTACGGCAGCAAGCACCCGAATTACTGCAAATAGTCTGATATATGTAGGCCTAGGAACGTTAAAATCTGACCAATGAAAAGTGTATAACTTCCTTCGAATCAAAAGGAAATTACGGCAATTAAAAAACGTATGATATAGAATTATAAAATTAACTAAGCTGTGAATTGATGAAAAGAAGCACCACATGCGCAACGAAGACCTGCCTAACATAAATTTTTGGAGTCAGGAAAAGAGAAAATATTTGGATTATCCGAAAAGCATATCATTATAACTTCGTATATGCAATATCTAAATTGCAGAAAAAGACGGCCTCCTAATTTATATCCGAACGTAATGATGCTAAGACTTTAAACGGAGTCCCCTTAATATCATTTATTTGGCTTTCTAAATCCTCTGCATTGCATTTTAATTGCTAGATATATCCTTAACAAAGCCATATACTCGCAACGCTGTTAATATATATGATTTTAAAATTAACTTATAATCTGCTTCCTCTTCTGTTAATTTTAAACACAATTTTGTGATTTTTAACTTAACTTTCTACCTTTCTGTTTAGTTGCTTTTTTGTTTATGTCTATGATGTGCTTTCCTAAGTTTTTCAAGTTTCGCCAGGTTTTGGTGGTGTGCATTCTTGGATGGAACACTTATTTGACCTATCCGTAACGGATAAAGAGGCAGAAATTGAGGCAGCCAATCGTGAGTGGATGAAACGAATGCGGGAGGTTGCAATTTGTGGAGAACGCGAAGCAATAAATGATGGTTTTAATTCTCGTTCGAGTTCCATCTTCGATAGGGGCCTTGATGTCGGCTTCGAGGCCGTGAGAGATCTGGCAGTTCTTAAGGGGCGTTTGCTTTTTTATAAGTCAATGCGAAATGCAGATGGATCTTTGGTGGATCAACTCCTGTCTGATCTAGATTTGTTGATGAGACAAGTTACTCGGGCATTTGCCGCCAGTAGGGACCATTCTCCTGCCTTTGAGGCTGTGTTTTCCAAAGATCTTTCGGAGAAAATAGCAAGCACTAAAGAGGCAGTGGATAAGTTTTTAACTATGCACTAAAGATGATAATATCTGTCCTTCTATGTGTGCTTTCTGTGCAAACCGTATGTATATCAGGTATTTAATTAAATGAGCAAAAGCAGTAGGTACTTTTTGAAGTGAAAGTCTGTCTTATTTCTGTACACTAGTTGTGTATGGGCGATACTTATTTCCTCCGTTAGTGGGCGCTTCGTTTCCACACCAGAACCCACTTTGATGGATGTCTTTTGGGCGAACTTGTTACTTTAGTTTCTGGTAGACAATGTACTTGCTAATCGGGGCAGACGAAGACGCAGGTTTGGTGTATTTAATTACTTCTTCAGGTGTTATGAGCATAGTTGGAGCTCATTGTGAGGTATTCATTCCAATCATTTCAGGCTATTTGTATTGGTTCGCATTTGTGGTGAAATAGGTGATCCACATTAAGATGATCTGGAGTTAAGATGAGATCATTGGAGTGGCTTGGATTTGGAATTCCGTTGATGTATAAGAGGCATGTCTGGGGGTCAGTGGACGAATGCAATCTGGATTGGAGCTTCGATAGTCGCTTCTGCATGTAGCCCTACGTTGGCTGATTCAAAACACTTCAGATTCAGACATCCCTGTTACTAAGATGCAATCCTGAGATATGAGCTTCCAACCGACCAAAAAGCCGTCCACGCTGCCTTAGGATATTTTTGTCTCACATCAAAATAATCGCTATCTTAACCTGCTTAATTTGCAGCATGCTATTCAAGGGTAAATGAGGCTTGAATAAGTTCCGAACCTAATGCGGCATCTGAGTCTCTTCGACAGTTCGGCATCACATAGGTTGGACATTATGCTAAAGGAAATGGTAAGAACCCAACATTGTGGCGATGGAAGTGTCTTTCTGTTTTAACGACTGCCAAAAAGCTCCTGGCTATTCTCGATCTTTTTACGGTATAGTAGTAACTTACCTCTACTGTTTGATGTCGAGAGGGGATATCGAGGAACTCTACACAAAAGAATCTTAGTTCACAATCTGAATTCCTCCTTTCCGACGTCTTTCTCGTGCCTCTTGTGATCAAGGATTCACTTTTATCGCAATAATTGCTCCTGTGTCATAGAATAGGAGTCATAAGCTTAAGATGTTGTCGATTCTGGAGATCAAGTCTTGTGGAGTGAAGTGCATAAGGCAAGAAGTTAGTCGTGCTAATTTAGAGAGCCATATTTCCCTCCCCAAAGAGTACGCTGTACGTTATTATCTCTCTGTAGTAATGCGAGGGAGGATGATGCTGTTTCATATTTCATGGTAAGAGCAATTCTCTTCAGGTGCGTTGAGTTGGCCTTGCTATAAATCTGATTAAATATGCTCGAAATCTGGTCCCAAACCTTGAGACATGGAACCACTACTTCTGTAGCTGGTTTATTTGTCCACCAGGTTTCTTTGGATTTTGTACTTGCATACTATTCCTTCAAATGGAGCGTCCAGGATTTTCTGCAATGCATGGCAATATAGGAGGCTGGTTGGTCACCGGGGTCTGGAAGAGCTGAGAGGTTGAGGGTGATTAAAATCCCATTACCGTTCTGACAGTGAAGCGTCGCACTATCAAAGTGTCAACTAACATATTCCAAAAACCAGTTGTACTTTAAAATAGTATTATTTTAACAATGCTACAACTAATTTCGACTCAGTAGAGGTTTCACTCAATTTTTTTATTTAAAGTCAATGGAGATAAATGGCTACTTACTACCACGATGGCTCAGTGCTGTAAGGCAGATTAATTAGACTAAAAAAAGCATTTTTCGCTTTACCTTATTTACAGTGTTGACAACCATCTAGAAAGCAAGTGGATGCCTTCTGTGTCCCGTCACCCTCGTCACCATTTGCTATGCTTAAAAGACTGAAAAATTACTACCCTGTGTTAGCTGTAGGTATCAATGGTAAAGCTAAAACAATGCTTTGCAGAGGCGTTCAAAGACTCATGCCTTACTTAATTCAGCCATTGGGTTATTCTGTGCAAAAGTGAGTTACTGAAATGCTGTTTAGAAAACCATATCGACATGAATTATTAACGCTTCCTCCATTGCATGGTTGCGTGCCTCGTGGTTTCTTGCTCAGACGAACTACTCCCGCAAAAGAATCTGAGAAACTTGCATTTTAGAAGCGTCACTTGAGTGATATCAGGTATCAGTTAATGGACGAGACGCAACTAACGTTGTCCGCGTTACTTATCATTACTCAGCGTGAAGTTTGCATGTATATTATGCCCTAGTTAGAACAATACCAAGAACTGCTTCAATAATAGCTTCTTTTCTTCCATCTAAGTGTGGCCCTATTCACACCTAGGATACACAGGACAGCCAATTAGTTATTTGGCATACATTTTTAATCAGACTGGTAAGCTATCCCGTTTGGGAAATGTGTAATGGGATCGTGTTTATGAGAGGAAACCAAAATCTTTTCGATCTCCCGACTACACTTCAATACGTTTACCGACGCGTGTGAGTGGAGAGACCGTTGCGTCTCCCGCCCACTGGGTGGCCGACAGGGTAATGGGATCCGGCCAAGGCACTTGGCTGACGTTTGAGTTGTAGTAGTTATTAACTATGGAAACCTCTGGAAATTTGAACAAGAAACATTTCTTGCCTCTTCAGGCGTCACAACAGTTGTAGTGGATCAGCTTAAAACAGTTCTTTCACATTCCAAAATAAGTATTTTTACAAAAAAGTCCGCAGAAATCAAAGACACTTTTTTGTGTAGCATTGCTTTTCAAGAGGTGTGGACGTGAAAAAAGTTCTATCATTGCGATGGCAATTCTGAGCATGTGATTGGTAAATCGGATACGAAGGAGATGAGGCAGGCAGCTCCATCCTCCTTCATTTCCACGTGTTAAGTTTGTGTTTATGAGGCGTACCCATAATTTGTCTTTGATTTTAAATGTAGCATGTCTTTGAAGGGAAAAATTCTAGCACGACTGTAAAACCACGATGTTGCGCATCTCCCCGCCTTCGTAAACGACGTGATCAGGCCTGCAATAAAGTTGGTACTAAGTTGCGCGCGTTTTCACTAAGTGGCAGATGTATTCTGCATGCCACTTTTCACTTTGCTAGTCACCACATTCATGAAGGCTAGTTAATGCTCATTTTCAGTAACTAAACCTTCCATTCACACAAAACATGCAGTACAGAACCGCTTAAACCGTGTGCTCCATTTTGCGCATCTAATTTTTAGGTCGGTGTTCAGATTCCCAGCTCTTGACATACTCAGTGGTTAGCAGAATTCCTCGAGAGTTGCTGATAGCGCCAAGTATCTTCCCTAGTTGCATACGACGTCGATGGTTGGAGCGTTTGCCTTGTGAACCTTCTGTGAAGGTTGATCGGGGAGGAGGGGGGCACGGACGACGCCCAAAATAAAGGGAGCTGCTCTGTAAAATGATTGTTTTTGCTTAAACCTCAGTTTCGGCCATTTTGCGTTGGTCTTGTGGACTAGACTCAGACCCATTCCAATAGCCTCATACCTTCTTTCCATTTTAGAAACGCCTCCGAACACCTAATTGTTTCCCAGACATTAAACCATCGTAAACTTTTCAATAATCCCTTTTATTAACCACAGAATTTAAGATGTGAAGTAAGAACTTTGCAGAACACTTCACCTGCAAAATTCTGGACACATTCATGTGTTTAATGGAAATTGTGGGTTTGAATGTTGAAAGTCCAGCTGCTTGTCCCGGGTGAAGGGAGCCACCTTCGTGTCTCAGCACGCACTTAAGGGCACCCAAG